ATGACATGCTGCGTGAAGACAGAATGGGGCTGAATATGACACGTTCCCATGCAACTAAACTGCATTCTCAATTAAGTTTTGCGGGAAATTGTATTTTCTCAGGGATTACGGTCACAGTTTTAAAGACGTGGTTAAAGGAAAACAAGCAAAACTACTTGGTTAAGTTTAGTTAAAAAAAGAAAACAGGGTTTGGATTAAAATAAGTATGTTTGTTACAGCTGTCTCCTGTTTGTTTGATCCATCCATCCACCCCAAAATGTGGCCTTTCACAGACTATGATTAGAAACATATTTGTCATAAACAAACACAATCCGGTGGAAAAAACATTTACCTCGAAGCGTAATTGACAATGCAGTTTTGTGGTAGTGGAACATTTTTAGGAGATCAGGGTGGACATAAATATACTAACAAAAAAGAGTTGGAAAAAGTTTAGTTCCCAAAGTCACACCCCTTGTGTTCCTCATTCTCACTCTCTGCCTCATTTACTCAGATTTAAATTTCACGTGGGGAAACAAGCCAAAGCTTTGTCAAGATTACGTTACACTGGCCTTTTGTATTCCAGCTCAGGGCATGAAGATGAAGCATGCAGGTGTGCCTGTGTGTGTCTCTAAACTCTGTATATGTGTGTGCATTTGTGCCCATGCGTCACCCCTCATGGGCAGGCTGGAATGACAGAGGGTCATTCCAGCCTTTGCAGCTCTTTGTACACAGACTCTCCCTTCCTGTGATGGAAATTCCTCCCGTCAAAAAAAAAAATTCTCTCAAACCATCTCTATAATTAGAGCTCCCTCTCGGACCGCATCCTGCAGTTAGTGGATTCACTGGGGTTTGATAAAGATAACTGATAAAGAAACAAAGAAGTCTGTACAAATGGCCATGGTTGTTATGAAAAAAGTGTTAATGGTTTTAATTTATTTTATTTTTTCAACCACCTATTGTCCTCAGTTGGCATCATGAGCATATTTAAATTATTAAATTATTTTTATTATTATTATTTGATTGATTTATGTAACCTACGTACTTAACCGCGTATGTAAGCTACCTAACAAGCATGACAAATGTAGTCATTTGAACTTAAACCAGGATGTTTTCCTAAACCCAGTAGTTTAGTTGCCCAAACAGGTTCTACACTGAAGGGGCTCTATTTTTACATAGTCGACTTTTTATTTTCTTATTATTTAAATTTTCATTTTTGAGTCTCAGTTTGGTTACGTTTAGGGAACAAAAGAAAAACATACATAACGTATAGGCTACATTTACACATGCAGTGTCTAAAGTGTGCCTGGGTCGGTTGCAAAGAGCATATTTGGCTGTGGACACCTGGGTGCTTGTTTCTGCCATAGGTACACCCGGGTGTAAATAGCCACATTGGCTATTCCGCCCAGATGCAAATAGTATTGTTGGCAGTTCCTCTGTCCTTTTTGTCCTTTGTCCACAGTATCATGAAAGTGTGACATAGCATACTCTCGTGGTATCCTGTATGGATTGGTGGCACAAGCCCGTATCAGCTGTGCCCTGATCAGCATGACAGCTGAACAGAAATCTGTTATTACACTGTATCCTCAAAACTTCCCTATCACTTAACAGAGCAGCACACACTTGCAGTTTTAATCATTTACCCTTTGCTCTGGAATGTGAGTTAGTTACTCACTGAAAAAAAATGCCAAGTTAATGAAACAGCTTTGGATAACCAGAATTTGAAAAAGGCAGCTTGTCTGAAAGGGAAAGAAGAACACTGCTCTTTCACGAAGATGAAGCATTTAACTCGTTGAACTCGGCTTCGGCATATTCTTTCTGCAGCAGTTGTTTCAGGCCTGGTTCATCGCACCGCGTTATTTTTAGCAGAGCCATAGCCGGTAATCATCTCGCTCCTTATGGGTGTACGGCCTGCGACTTTCTGGTCACAGAGTTCTTTTTCGGTTAGTTTCCACAGAAAACCAGACGAATGAGTCATTTGCCGGGTTCAGCCAACTCAGCTTCAGTTTGGGTTTGGATTTTCATCTCTCTCTCTCTCTCTCTCTCTCTCTCTCTCTCTCTCTCCCTGCCCACTCTACAGGACTGGAAAATGAAAATGGGGAGAGAAACCGGTGGCTGGATGGCACACTGCCCAGTTCTGTTCTTACTTAATCTGCCCCCAGCGCCTCCTCCTCCTCTTCCACATCTCATGCTCTCCCACACTCCTGTTTTGCCACTTTTCATCTATCACTCTCTTTCGATTTCTTCCTTTCCCCTTCACATTCACTTCCCCCCTGACCCCCACTTTCACCCCTCCACTGCCCGGGACCTCCACCCCTCTTACGCACAATTGGTAGCTCAAAATAAAGGCGAGACTTCCAGTAACTGTAAAAAAAGAAAGTTTTGTGTTCCCAGAAGTCATTTCTGGGTGAAATCTTTTGTATCTTTACTAATCTGTCATGTTCTGTGATGTTGCAACAGGCCAAAGATCTCATTCTGATGAGTTGAGATCATTTACTCGCCACCGTTTGGCTTTTGATTGCAGCCTTTGATTGGGAACACTTCCTGTGTTTATTCTGCCAATCACATGAATCTCCTGCAGCTATTTTTAGTTATTCGTTTTTTCCTCTCTCCCTTCACTGCCTCCATGTCGCTCCACTAACTTTACCCTTATTTTATCCCGCCCTTCGGTCTGGGTGTCCTCATGTCTCCCAAACTTGTCCTTAGACACACAAACACACACACCACACCCTTCTCCATCCACCACTGCTCCCTCAACCCCCCCTCCCCCCTGTTTTGCTCCCAAAACCTCAGGGAGCACTGGTCTGACTCACGCCCGACACACCTAACAGATGTGTGGAGTAGAGGGAAACATCAGGAATGTGTTTTTATGTGGACGGAGAGAGAGAGAGAGAGTGAGGGATGATTCACGGTTTATCTATGCTAAGCCTGTAAAATATTTTACTGGGGAAAAGGGAGAATGAGATGAAACAGTGGCCTTGGACTCAGTTCTGAATGAGCTCCTACGCTCCAGCTAAAACTGTTTATCTATACTCATGATAGCTGCTGATAAACCTTTACAGGCCTCTTCTTGTTAACGTTAAATAAAAGGATCTAAATTTGAAAAAGGAGGTGGTTCGGGTGATGCAATGCACCTGCAACACTTGGTATGTGGAGTTCAACTTTAACATGTCAAATGTATTCACAATTTTATTTTGGGGGCGGGGGGGCAACATTGATCTGAGACTTGGCTGCAGATGCTCAGGGAGGAACACATGGCCAGCGCATTAAGAATCACATCACCACCATTACTGATGCTTAGATTGCTGTCCTTTGTGTATTTGTCTTTTGGTGAGACCTTTTAATGATAATCTTCCATGTTCCATTTTTAGACACAACGAAGAATGTGGATTTTGTCAGCCATCTGTGCATAGTGTAGTCCTCTAAGGACAAACACAGGACTTTCACCCTGTAGGCTGCTGTTCGTGTCCCGTGTGAAACCAAGTCAACATTGACTTAGTTTAATTTTGTCACGTAAATTACGTAATGCTGTTTACGTAACGCTGTAACAAACTTACTTATTTTTACACAAACCACGATTTTTTCCTAAATCTAACCAAGTACTTTTTTTTCCATAAGTAAGTAAACCTACGTTCAAATTTTATTTTGAAAAGAGAGACTGTATGCATGTAAAACTTGCACGCCATCCCTGCAACGTCCAGACCTGGAGGGGTACCTAGAGGGTCATAGTTTGAAGCGTAGTGTCACTGATCAAAAGTCGGTCATTTCTGAGTTGGGAGTGAAAACGTATTTGCCAATAAGCCATAACGAAAGTGCTGAGTGAACTGGAGCTGGAGCTGTTGTTAGCCTCGTTGCAGCATCCAGTTTTACTTGGGTTGCTTTGATTCTTTGGTGATTAATGACAAACGCAAAGTGAATCCTCAAAGGGCCTCCTCTCTCCATGCAGAGAGAAAGGTCTTGTTGAGCCAGTTCTCTGTGGGGCCTGAGGAATTACAGGCTTAAGCAGAGACATGCACTGGTGTCCTCTGTCCTATCTCATCTATCTCCTGTACCCGTCCGTCCAGCGTCCCCTTCTTTTCTATTCTGTCTCTGGAATTCCCTGTGTCTCTGGTCTAGTCTGCCCAGCCTCTGTCTGGCTGAAGGGGGTGGCAGAGCCAAAGCTGCAACAAAGGCTCAGAGTGTTAGGGAAGACAGCTTCACGACTTCACTCACAATAACTGACAGTGAGCCTGACACGAGGAACTACACTCACACACACACACACACACACACACACACACACACACACACACACACACACACACACACACACACACACACTTTACATAACAGCCGTAGGGAAACTGGCACAAATTTGGAAACTTTCACTTGTTGTCAAATGCAGTTGGGAAACCAGTTTTGAAACAGATCTGGCAGAATGATTAATGAGGCTGTCTGTGGAATGTTGCAATTGAATATTTCCAAAAAAACATGAAATTGTGATGATGAATAGTGGATTGATTGCTAAAGGGTGAGTTCAAGCACATAAGCTGTCCAAAAATGTCCCAGCCAATTACTCAAAGCTGTTGCTCCCCACAACATATGATTAAGTTATGCAGCGATTCATCCGAGACCAAAAGAGGCTGTATCACACAGGAACCAGACGGACTAATATGAACATAAATAAACAGAAAACAGAGACACAGCACTGCTTGGACAAGGCATGGGAATAGGGGCCTTCTGCCTTTTACGGGACAGGGCTTAAGAACCGCAGGTCAGAATGTGCATTTCTCAGAAGCTGGAAGAATTTCCCGCACAAACAGCAGACTTGTGTGTGTGTGTGTGTGTGTGTGTGTGTGTGTGTGTGTGGGGAAGTCGATTTACTGTATGTGTGCAAGTTGAAGCTGTAGAATGATATATAATCATTTACAGCTTCTATATTTCTTTGTTTCACTATCGCATTCTAAAAGTCTGTACTAGTTTAAGATGTATTATATTTGGAAATAATTTCCAAACCTTTGAAATAAATAAACAAACAACAAAACATTTGGGAAAACAAGTTTATTTGCGCTCTTTTCTTTAGGGTTAGATGAGAAGATTGACTGCGAGCAGCTGGTTAGCGTAGCTTAGTATAAAGACTGGAAGCAGGGGAAACAGCTATCTTGACTGAAGTGGTTTTGTTACATTTCGTAATGATTGTTTGCTCCTTAACACAAAGACTTAAAAAAAAAACAGTCAGGCAGAATGGTATTCTTCGTATTGTTAATTTTATCTTTGCTACAAAGGTGTTCCCCTCCAAATCAGTTTTTAATTACCAGCAACCTTTTCACTGGATTTGACATCCTTGGTCTCTGACACCACTTTGCCATCCACCAGAGTCTGAGTGACTGTCACCACTTTGGTCTGGACCATCTGTTGATCAACTGCATCCTCTAGACTGTAAGAGTGAACAAAACAGCAAAATCAATACAAGGTTGTTTATTTGTAATGAGTAAAACTAAACGTAGAACTCGTAATTAGATCCTTCATGACACTATTTTTGCATCAAATATATACTGGTTCTTCAACTTATCTGGTATATCCACATACAATTTAGCAGTTGAAATTAGAGCCATGGGAAGAGTATTGACGGATGAACTACTACTTTCCATATCAACGTCCCTTCATGTTTGCATGCAGCTAATTTGAATCAAATTTGCAAAAGCCTCCCCGAGATGACCAAAGCTCTAATATCCTTCCGCTCACAATGCAGAACAATGCATGTTTGGCTTTCAGCAAAGGTATGAACGAGCAAGTTTCTTCCTCATACTCACACAAAGTCCAACTCGCCGTCCAGCAGCCTCCTGTACTCGGCGATCTCGGCCTCCAGTTTCACCTTGATGTCGAGCAGGTGCTCGTACTCCCTTGTGTCGCGCTGGATGTCGGAGCGGATGCGAGTGAGCTCCTCCTGCAGCCTCAGGATGACCGCGTTGTACTTCTCCACCTCCATGTTGTAGCGCATCTCGATGTCACGCAGGGTGGCCTCCAGGGACGCTTTCTGTCAAGAGGCGAAGAAAAAGCGTGTTCGATTAATGCATGACTGGTGACTGGTCTTGGCTTTCTTGAAAACATTGATATCAGTCATGTCTGTACGATAATTATGCCCTGATCACTGACCACAAATGTTCTTACCAGACTAAGTGCGGATTGCATTTCAATGTCCAGTCCCTGATACCTCCTCCTAGAATCTGACATCACGGTCGTAGCTTCCTTCAGAGCTGTTGAGCTCTCAGTCACTTGGAACTGCACCTCTGTGATCTGGACACAAGATACTAATAGTACATAGAATAGGTACTTAACAAACAGAGCTCGTTAACCCAAAGCAAAATCTTGGCATTGACGAATTACCTGAGAGTCATGCCATAGTTTGAGCTCCTCCTGGTTCTTCAGGGCTATCTTCTCATACTTGGCCCTCATCTCCTCCATGATCTTGGCCAGGTCCTGTCCTTTAGGAGCGTCAACATCCACACGGACGCCAACCTGGGTGATCTGGGCACGCAATTCAGCAACATCCTGTTGAGGGGGAGGGGGGAAATAGTCAGGCGGTGATTTCCTGAACAAGGTTAGTGGGGTTATCCGGTGCAAGGAGGTTAAGAGAAAAAAAAAGATTGCCATAATGTTGAGTAATTATGGGTTAGTATTGGGATTACTTTTCTCTTTGAATTGCTATTCCATCGTTCAGTTGGATTAGGCCAAATGCTTTTTTCGTCAAAACACAAATAATTTCTGACCAGTGTCCCTCACCGCCTTGTGGTTCTTCCTCAGGTTGATCAAGTCTTCCTTCAGTGACTCGATGTCGCTCTCCAGGTGCAGGCGAATAACGTTGGTGTCATCCAGAATCTTCCTCAGTCTGGCCACATCGGCCTCCACCGTCTGACGCATGGACATCTCGTACTCCATCCTGACAAATCAAACCACTTATCAGATACGTTCACACCAGATGGAAAGCTTGTTTGATTTTGGATGGAAAGCTGATGAACACTCACTTCATTCTGAAGTCTTCGGAAGTCAGGCTTGCATTGTCGACAGCGATAGCGAGATGCGCGTTGCCATTGATCATGTTAAATATCTGGAAGAAATTAAATTGCTTCTTGAATTTTCAGTGTGTGAAATGCAAACAAACAGTGGCACTCTATCCTCCCACTGCCAATTCGATGGACAGCAAACTGTAACTTTCACTTTGATATATTGTGCATATTAAAGATTTGCCTTTGATAGCACGCTGTAAGTCATGAAATAACAAAAGGGGTTATCTCTCATAGCTCGACACAGAAGTGAAGATAAGAGTGTGACTAGATGTAATAAATGTTGTGAAATCAGTCAGAGGGATCCATAAACTCTCAATGCCAAACCCATCACGTATGATAATAAAAAAGTGCCTCAGGCTGGAATGGCTTTTGCTCCAACATCATGTGACGAATTCAAGGGAGCAAGTGGACGTAGCATTGAGATCTTGGTCAATTAAAAGTCCCAGCACTTACACATAGATTTTGGGCACCAGTGTGAAATGACCAGAACACCTCAAGAGACCCAGATTTATCTCTGGCACTATGTGGTGAGGTAGAATATAAAGAAACCTTTTTGCTTTCAATTGATGATTCGCAACAGGTATCATTAAATATTGACTCACCTTGGCCCTCAGCTCCATGATGATTGTGTTGTACTTGCTGAAGTCCCTCCCATCCATGGGGCCTTTCTTCTCGATGATCTCCCTGATCTTGATCTCTAGAATGCCGTTGGCCTTCTCCAGACTCCTCACCGTCTCCAGGTAGTTGGCCAGCCGGTCGTTCAATTGCTGCATGGTGGTCTTCTCGTTCGTGATGGCCAGGGTTCCAGAGGTGGACCCAGACGACAAGGACTGGCAGTCATACCCACCCCCAAAGCTGTTGCCAACCCGATTGCCGTACGCCGTGGAGATCCTGATCCCATGGCCGCCCGCTCCGCCGCTGACACTGTGGGCGTAGGACCTGTCCATCTGTAGGGTTCTGGGAGCGGGTGCCGAATGGACACCAAGAATTTGAGAAGTCTGGCGTCTGATCATGGGCTCCATCGCTAAAAGAAGTGTGCTGATCAATCAGAGGGAGAAGCTGTGCGTCCTGGTGCAAAGGGGTTTGGCAGCTGAGAGGACGGAGGCAAATCTTCGGGTCTTATATATCACTCTGACAGGCAATATTCCGTCCTGCCACTCCTCCCCTATCTATATTACATTTGTACCTTTAGTCCTCTTGCTTAGACTTTGTCCCCAAAACACCCACTGTGAACAAATCAGTCAAAGGCAAAACAGTACACTGACATTTTCACGTCAGTTGTGTGTAGTAAATAAGCTGTATCTATAGTAACCATGATATCAACAGCAGCTTAAAGCATAAGGCTGACCACACTAAATATGGATCTTATTGTGAGCAGATTCCATGAAAAGACAAACAAAGAAATGATCCTACTATATAACAAGTATTCTCTGTGTATTAAAAGCCTGATATATCTTATTCCTCTATGCCATAGAGCTCCATTGTTTTCCAAAAACTTTTAAAAACACATCAATGAGCCACACTGGGTAACGTGTTCCTTCATTATACTTTTTTTAAATATTTTTTTGTGCAATTTGAAGTAAATCATACAGCATTGTGATGCATTTAATACTCACCTGGGTCTTCATTACAGAAACATATCTTAACTGCTTGTCTTTTATTAAGTTTCATAGACAGGAAAAGTCTTCCTGTTACAGAATCAATTCATAAAGTCAAGGCGGTGTCCTATCCTATCTCAGACCTCTTATCTTATCTTAAGAAATCAAAACTATAGCTGCAAAGGCCATTCTTCAATTGGCACTCATCCTGTCATGCCTGTATCTATGTTTAGGATATTCATCCGATGGCCTGTATCTTTGATCAGAGTGGACTGGTGAGCTACTCCAGATGGACAAGCAATAACATCAACGGCTCTAGACACAAAAAAGTCAGGTGTTTCATTTTAGCTGGAGTCAGAGGCACTAAATGTGTCGGTGGAGGAGAGGATACCCCACTTCTTCTTAAGTAATTAATTGTCTTGGTGGTCAATATACTGTATGTACCCATTAATGCATGGTCTGGAAAATGAAAAGCGTTACATGGTTTAAGTAGCCTTTCAATCATTATATTTCGGTGTTCATGTTGTTCCCCATTTACATTGTCTTTGCCATACAGACCTAACAACAGTGCTCCTGCTATTATTGGCAGCTATCTTGAATTCAGGATAGGCTTAATGATATCCTAAACTAGGATTCCTAACTTATTCTACGATAAGAGAGGATTTTTCCTAGATGCAGTTAGGTAACATGTTAGAAAGTATTGAGGGATGGACTGGTTTTTGCTTTGTGGACTTGGAGAAGGCTTTCGACCGGGTCCCTCGGGGGTTCTTGTGGGGGGTGCTGCGGGAGTATGGGGTGCTGGACCCATTACAACGGGCGATCCGGTCTCTGTACGACTGCAGTAGGAGCTGTGTCCGCATTCTCGGCAATAAGTCAGACACGTTCCCGGTGGGTGTTGGCCTCCGCCAGGGCTGCCCTTTGTCTCCGGTCCTGTTCGTGACTTTCATGGACAGGATATCTAGGCGCAGCCTGGGGGTGGAGAACGTCAGGTTCGGGGGTTTGCAGATGATGTGGTCCTGTTAGCCTCCTCGGATCATGACCTCCAGCATTCACTGGGGCGGTTTGCAGCCGAGTGTGAAGCGGCAGGGATGAGAGTTAGCGCCTCCAAATCTGAGATCCATGGTGCTCTGCCGGAAACCGGTGGATTGCTCCCTCCAGGTGGGGACGGAGTGCCTACCTCAAGCAAAGGAGTTCAAGTATCTCGGGGTCTTGTTCACGAGTGAGGGTAAGATGGAGCGGGAGATCGACAGACGGATTGGTGCGGCTGCAGCAGTAAAGCAGGCGCTGCACCGGACCGTCTTGGTGAAGAGGGAGCTGAGCCGGAAGGCAAAGCTCTCAATTTACCACTCGGTCTACGTTCCTACCCTCACCTACGGTCACGAACTCTGGGTCGTGACCGAAAGGATAAGGTTGCGGCTACAAGCGGCTGAAATGAGCTTCCTCCGTAGGGTGGCCGGGCCCAGCCTTAGAGATAGGGTAAGGAGCTAGGTCATCAGGAGGGAACTTGGAGTCGAGCCGCTACTCCTTCGCGTCGAAAGGAGTCAGCTGAGGTGGTTCGGGCATGCAAGCTAAAGTGACCAGAATGAATGAGCTAATGCTCATCATACATGAGCTCTGGGGCTTGATTTAGTCTCACATTTGAAGTCCCAGTGAAAAGGAAGTTGGAGTGTCTTTAGCTTCTGTACTGGGACGTATTCCTCTGTGAACTGTTTGAGCCATGTATGCAGTTAAAACAGCAATTTATATCAAAACCTTTGCGTTTGATTGAACCACTAAAAAGTGGGCGGGCTTAGAATGTAGCGCGACACGGAGCTAGAGGACTGCTGCACCACACACACCTGCCTTGATGCTAAATGTTGCAGATTGATTGATGGATGGTATATCATTGGCTGGTACTAGCGTACGTAAGCACACGTCATATTTCATATATGACTGGATTTATACAATAAATACATTTTTTGATTGTTTTTTTTGCATATATTATTAAATAAGTGCACAATATAACAGGGGACGTGATCTAAAAGAGTTGAAAAGACATTTTCCATTTGTTTGCCATTTATTTGTAGTTTAGACACCAGCCAAGAGTTCAGTGTTTCACACACTTTATTCTTCTCAAGAATTCACATGTTGCTATTGGGAGTAAATGCTGTAATCACTCCTGCCACTATCCCCTGTCTTGATAGATTAGATTTATTCGTGTTAAAGACATGTCACAACTCATTTTTAGTTTCAAACAACAACACCATGTTCACACCAAGATAAATTTCTCAAATGGACTTTATTGATATGTGGGAACATCACAGTGTAACAGGCAGATTTAACTGGACAGAAAGAAAACCGAAGATGATGACGTGTAAAGCATGTTTGGCATTTATTTGGATTTTATTACTTTGAAATATTCACTCACTTCAATTAGTGTCGCTCTGGGAGAATAAAAAAAAAGCTCAAATCTCTCCAATTTTAAACTTTTGTTAAGCATCTGCGGGTGAAGACAAACTCATAAATAAATCATGATGAAATAAATAAAAGATGATTCAGTTTTCCTCTTATCCAGTTTTATTTCATCGGCCTGTGTACACCCATGAAGTCAAACAAATTGCAGCGTCAGCGCTTAGTGCTCTGAGACTAAGAAGAAAGGAGATCAATTTTGGCCCATCATATGTGAGCTTTAGGATGCGGTGACGGTGATTGATGGGAGTGTCAGGCGGTTGCTTCCGGGATTCAAAGGTTCTTGGTTTCTGTGCTGGAGGACACCACCTTGCCGTGCACCACGGTCTGTGTGACGGTCATCACTTTGGTCTTCACTGTCTTCTGGTTCTCCAGAGCATCCTGGAGCCTGAACGGAAACATCAAGAACAAAATTGTCAGGTAGTTCCTGCAGACAGATTCAATAGTTTGCCTTCTGAAGGGTTGGTTTTGACAACTCTGTCATAAGATTCATTACGTACGAGAAGTCTTCCCCGTCCAGCAGCCGTCTGTACGTGGCAATCTCAGCCTCCAGCTTCATTTTCAGGTTGAGCAGGCTCTCGTACTCCTGCGTCTGCTGCTGGATGTTGTTGCGCAGCTGCGTGAGCTCGGCCTCCAGGCCCAGGAGGATGGAGTTGAGGGCCTCGATCTCCATGTTGTAGCGCATCTCTGTGTCCCTCAGCGTGCCCTCCAGAGAGGCTTTCTGTGAGAATAGGCAAGGGGAAAGGAAAGAAGGGGTTAAAGTGATTCACAGTGAACACAACTCTGCTGAAGACAGCTCCATAGCGAGGGGTCACCGGAGTGTAAAGCTTGTGTCAACAGAGTCGTTGTGAGAACCTTGAAGTGAGAGCGCTGAGTTGGCCGTTGCGGCGTGCGTTGGGGTAAATGAAGTGTGTGCTGACTGAGTGCTTCTCACCATGTTCCTCTGTGACTCAAACTCGATCTCCATGGTTTGCACCTGTCTGCGCAGGTCGTTCACCTCTGTCTGGGCCCCCTTCAGGGCCTCTGTGTTGTGGCTGACCTGGGTCTGCACTTCCGTTATCTGAAATAAGGATTGAGATTAAAGAAATACGTAAAATTTTAAGACCACACTAATGGGACTTTGCACTTGATAGTTCCCTTGTTAATCATTTACCTGAGATTCGTGCCATGCTTTGAGTTCTTCCTGGTTCTGCAGAGCCATCTTCTCGTACTTGGCTCTTATTTCCTTCATGATCTCAGACAGGTCCTGTCCTTTAGCGGCGTCGACGTCCACATGGACTCCAGACTGAGAGATCTGGTTGCGCATCTCCATGACTTCCTACAAAAATAAATGTGGATAGGGGAGTTCAAAGACAAAATCACAGATCTAGTGCACTCGGTCTCAACTCAAATACGGCAGCTTTCTCAGTGGTCCTACATGTCAAACTATGGCGCTCTACGTGGTCATCGTTATAGCCAGAGTAAAGGAGGAAGTCAGGTTATGTAGTATTGAGAGCGACAAAGTGAGTTTCACAAAGGAGGCTGCTGTTTGTGCCCTGTGTAAAACTAAAAGTCGATGTTATTTTAAGTTATACAACAACACTACATCCTGTACATAATTTGGCTTATTTAAGTATGTCACATATGTTACGTGCGTGTGTGAATCAAGACTTGTTTTTATTGAGCTGTGACCCAGCTCTATCTGCCAACCATAATCACATTATGGTTAGGTAAATATACAGGGGGTGCATCTTAACCTCGTACAGTAATTCCTTCATTAAACTAATGGTTGCGTTTTGGCTTATGCACTTAAATGATAGTTATTTTAATTCTTTGGTGTTCTCTCCGTTGCCAAATATGGACGGGGACCAATTTTTTTTTTACGATGAGGCTTCCCACAAAATTCACATAAAAGACATTTCAGATCTCTTAACGAACCACCCTCTTCCCACTGTCGTTTACTCCAGCTTGAGTTCAGGAGCGCCCTGCAGCCAGTTGAGTATGTGTCGGCTGCAGTCGTGGCGTCACACTCAGTGATGATGTTGGAGGGGATTATGAAGAGGTAAGCAAATATTTATTCAAGCCTTCTGAAAGGCATGGCTGCTTGGTGACATGATGTCCAGAGGTCTTTTAAATTTGGCTTTTGTTTGGATTTCATTAGACTTTGTTGAAAGCAGCACTTAAAAATGTCAACATCGAAGACAGCATGAATACAGCTTTGACTTTCACTGACAAAACGTACGAAGCCACAGCTTCAGTTTCTGTCAAAGGTCAAAGGTCTTCTAGATGTAGTGACCTTTTGAGCCAGTGCTGCTAGCTGCTTTCATTGGAAAAGAGTTGGCCACACTGGGCTGGGTTTTTTAATAAGGGTTAAATAATTCTTTAAACCTTGCTCACTCTTGTTAGTTTTCAAAGATTACCAACCCTATCTTTAAAGTTTAGCCACATTTGAATCAACATGTGACAACATCTGTGTGGTTGTTTGCCATCATACTCACATTTTCGTGGTTCTTCTTGAGGTGGATGAGCTCCTCCTTCAGGGTTTCGATCTCGCTCTCCAGGTTCATGCGGCTCATGTTGGTGTCGTCGATGAGCTTCCTCAGACCGACGATGTCGGCCTCCACGGACTGGCGGATGGCCAGCTCGGACTCATATCTATGGCAGGGCAGTGAGGGTACAGTCAAAGCCTGGTACAGGTGCTCCCATTCACCTCATTAAACTTTGCTAACTGAATAACATAATGACCAAAGCTACTGAATGGACCAACACTTGGTCGCCAACGATCTTTTTTTAAGGTATATTTCCATGTTTATATATATATGTGGTAAGTATTTGCTCAGCAAACAATATTCAGCACAGCTGTGTTTGCCGTGACATTTAAGTTACGACACAACTGAAAGGGCTCCGCCGGCCCTGATGCAAAGGTGATGAGTTATGAACGCGACACCGTGCACGGTGTGCCCCGCAGCTCTCTGGCTTTGGGCTTTACAGTCGGAACTTACTTCACCCTGAAGTCATCGGCCGCCAGGCGAGCGTTGTCGATGTTGAGAACCAGGCGGGCGTTGTCGGTGGTGGCGTCAAACACCTGGGACATGGTTGACAAAAGAAGGGGGGGGTTTAGGTTTGCAAACAGGATGGGCAGCACAGACAACCAACAGTACAGAGCAGACAAAAAAGTTATTTTATTTATTTTTTAAATAAATGTCCTTTCTTTGTTTATTTTTATCGTATCGATTGTTTTATCATTTCATCTATTGTATTGTTTTATCACGGTTAACATTTGACCTTAGTTTGTCTTGCTATGTTAGGCCTCTCTGTTGAGCTTTGTATCGTTTGCTTAGCCTTGCTTTGTCTGTCAAAGCACTTTGTAAACTCTGTAAAGGCGCTATATGAATAAAGTTGATATTATTATTACTTGGTTAAATGTCTTTATTGATATACTGTAAGTAGTAATAGGTTTAGCGTGAGAGGAAAGAGTGGCAATATCTGTGCAAATGAGGACAGCGCAAGAGGTCTCCTTCAGGAAACCAGATGGTTGCAGTATTTGCTTTAGCTGTCACGGTACGGCAGATAAGGGCTGGTGAGCGGGTGGCGTCCAGGTGACAAAGTCCGCGAGCCAATCAGCGGCTGCCAGGCAGCAACTGTCCCATCTCTGCCGTGGAACAGGATCTATCCTGTCAGCAGGGCCGAGGCAGGGGATTTGCATGAGGAAATTGGTGATGGTGGTTGTGTGTGTGTGTGCGCGCATGCGCGGTCATGTGAGAGCATGTGTGTGTGTTTGCATGGGTAGTTGACTGTGTGTGCTTTGCTCTTTGAGTCTGTGTTGTCTTACATGGGGGCTGAGTGATTTTTGCATCACTCCAAATGAGAAAACAAATATGAGGCAATTTGAACCCAGGGCTGTTCTCTTCCCCTTCTGCCCATTTCGTCTGTGTCATCATTTTCAAAAGGAAGGTTTGCATTTTCTAAATCTATGCAGCTCCCAAGAGGAAAAGGTTCAGAAAAAGCCCCCCCCCCCCCCCACACACACAGTATTTAGGTGTTGCTCCAGTTGGCCCCACTGGAATGTTCCATTTGGAAACCGCACTTTTCTACAAAGTATAATGTAACTTTGAATAAAGAGCATCAGCAGGATGAGGGTCACACAGTCCAGTTCTCTTTCAGTCAATACTGTCTTTTTTTTCTTCCTCTTGCACTCAGTGGGGGAAAAACCCGGCATAAATAATTAACTAATTTTCCCGGGTCGTGTAATGTCTTCACTTACTTTCAGTTAAAAAAATCTTTTGTGCGTATTTGGGGCGTGACAGGTAAGTGTGAAGCTAGCAGATAAATTGCTCATAAAAGAAATTCAAGAAAAGCTCCACCTTGGACTATTTGATTCACATTAATTGAGTTGAGTTGTTCTCCCTCCCTGCCCTTATCACCTTCTATTTAATGTACACACAGTAGCAGTGACTGTACTGAGTGCCATTGTCCCACCAACAACACACCAGTGTTTGTGTTGAGCTAATCAAAGTGAAAACAGGTAGTTAAAGGTTCTGATGTATGTGTGGCCCTTTCAAGTCCCTTGACTCTCTTGTATTTCTCCCTGCTTTCCTGTTTCTCTGACCCCCCTCTGATGCTCCAACATTCCTCCACCATACTGTTTCCGGTCCCACCCCTCGCCCCCTTGACCCTGCCCCCCCCCCCAGAGTGGGCAGGCACTGGGCCAAGCAGCACCGATGGGGATGTGTTTAGGTTGGTGGGAACAGGATGTTTGTGGTGTAAACACCGTCATGACGTGTTGTGTCTGTTTTACACATTTCTTGCTCAGCCCTACTTCCATCACATCCTTTCAAAACAATCATCATCCCATAAGTCAGCCTGGGTTTCATCTTTCAATTCCCTCACTCCAGTCGACACTTAACTAATCAACACATGCCTGCTCCCTCCCGTCTGCTCCCGCCCCCCTCACCTTCTTCCTCAGGTCGTCCAGGACGGCCTGGTACTTGCTGTAGTCCCTGAAGTCGGGCCCACTCTTCTCCAGGGCCTTCTTGATCTTGATCTCCAGCTGGTGGTTGGCATGCTCCAGGGTCCTCACCGTCTCCAGGTAGTTGGCCAGCCGGTCGTTCAGGTTCTGCATGGCGAACTTCTCGTTGCCCATGATGTCAGCGCTGTTCCCGCTCACCTGCACGCTGCCGGAGAAGCCCCCCGCCCCGGAGCCTGCCGCCCCCATACCGGCTCCCAGCCTGCTGCGGCTGGTGGAGGAGATGCTGATGCGGGACCCACCGGCCCCGCCGTGGATGGTTGGGGCCCCGTAGACAGGGCCGGAGGCGCGCTGGAATGACATGGAGGGAGTCTTGCTGCTGGTGGAGGAGCGCACAGAGTATGTGCTTTGCCTGGAGGTTTTCATTGTGGCTGGAGAGTGTGGGACTCAGTGAGAGAGACTGTGAGTTAGAGAGAGAGAGAGAGAGAGCGGCTGGGTAGGCAGAGACAGGAGCTCACAGACACAAGGCAGGAGGAGAGTGGAAGCTGTTACACTATATAAACCTTGTGGGCCCTCAGGTCCGCCCCTAAGAACACTCCCCCCCACCCTGAGTCACCTCCCTTTTTTCCACCGGCCTAAACCACGGAACTGCTCACAGCATGCCTTTGTCCTTCACAAGCTTCCAAGAGCCCAATTCTGAGCACTCAATGGAATTCAATAACTTGGAGCTAGACATTTTTACTAGACATGAATAGTGAATATTGCTAGGACTTTACTGATAGGACAGAAAAGTCCCAAAACATCATTTTATGTTTCAGCAATTCCCTCGAAGATATTAAAAAACAAGAATACATTTTTTCTTGGTTTTTGGACGACAGTGGAGTTGTGTGACAATGAAGCGTTGAATTATGTTAGCACTCAGCAGAGTGCAGATCTCCCCCACAATAGCCCTCCATCTAGACCGCAAGCGTATCAACAGCAACAGATACACTCTATATATTATATATATATATGTGCAGCTGAACTGCTGTTGGCTGCGTCAAACTTCACATTGACCGTTTAACGCTTCCTCTGAACAAAATCTGTCAGTCCTGCTAAGTGTTTTAAGAATAACGAGGAGTCAGCGGACAGCCACGACATGTAAAAGTCAGTCAAATATGTTGTCAATACAACGTGATTTTCAAAACGCGTTGACTGACTGCAACCGCGAGAGGCCCAGGAGCGTACGGTCGTTAATGAGCACAAAGAATATTAGACTGGTGGGTTCAGCAGCACGTGAGATCAGCCGTGGACAGACACACACGACCGAAAACATAATCGCCTGGTTGAGATAATAAAAGTTAGAAGGATGAATTCATTTTCAGTTTTAGTCTCTTCAGGGGAATTGTTTTTGATAAAAAGATGAAATAACGGCAGCCATACTCTTTGAAGATTGTTAACTGGGTATGAAGCTATACGGGGCGGTTCAAATTATCCCACAATCAAATATTTCAAATTGTGTCACCCACATTACACTCATCAAAACACGTCACTGGTTGTGTCACACTACCCGCCCTAAATAACAGCTATACATTCATCACCTTTTCGAGAATGTCTTGCAATCGGCTCGGTATGTTACCGCAAAGGATTTCATCAGCGTCTTAAGTCACTCTGGGAGGGTCAGGCCGGGTCACACCTGGAGAAGTGAGACGTCTCATTCGACTCCAGACACTTGATGAAAACATTTCAAATTATACAGTATGTGCATCAAGTTTGTCATGAAAAACAAATCCACTTTGTAGATATACATTGTGGAAAAGGAAACATCTGCACTCATGTGTAATGGCTTTAATGGTCCATACATGTTTTATCCCAGTAACGAGAAATCACCCATAATGTACTTTCCATCAACAACAACAACTGTGTTTAACTGTAAATTTTAAGGTTTGTTTTTATTGTGTAATATGAAAATCTGTCCGGAGATGAATGGAAACTAATGGCTTTGAACTCTAGGAAAAAGTACATCTAAACAAGATCTAACACAGCATGTATTTTAAAGAAACAAAAGAAGATCAGCAAAAACACCAATGGTATGGTCCCTTTAAAGCCTTGATGTGTGATCAACCTGGAGTTCAATCAGATAAAGGTTTTTAAGGTGTTAGGTGGCTCCAGATGTTATGCACAGTACAGTATGTTATCTATCCTACGTAGCCGGATGTGTGTCTGATTGTCCCCCTCCCATGAAGGATATGGTCAAACAAAGGAACAATTCCACAGTCACCTTTGTAGATGTGTAGGAACAATGACTTTTCTAAACCGGTAAACATATTCCAGAAGCCCCCTTGCTGTTTTTTAACACAAGTACATTCCACACACACGGTACGTCTAGTTATTACCGACCTATAACAAGGACAGAAAACATCTTTCTTTTGGGTTCTTTGTAGTTTCATGTTTACTTTCGTTGGTCATTTAAAGTTAAGAAAAAAAAAAAGCATGGAAGTTTGTGTCACCAAAGCTTAAATTTGAGAGTTAAAACCATTAAGCAATGACAAATATCTGGATATCATATATATCTGTGTCTGCATCAACTTGTTTTCGTGTTTGTCTGTAGTCGTGTTCGGTCCCATCCTTGTCTACTCGACTCCTCTGTTTGTTTTTCAGGAAGGAACACGCGGCAGGATATTAAAGTATAAAGAGCTCCTGATGAAAAAACAACACTTGGACTGTTATAGAGCATGCAAACAAAAGGGATTCCTGCTAACCATAGTAATACAGTGGCTTTGAAAGAGGTAATACATGTGTTATATTAATGATGGTACAAATGCCAATTATTAAATCCAAGTCAATTTGTAAGCTCTTGTCGTAAAGTTGAAACAAAGGCTGGGTTTATCTAGACAAAGAGAAAGCAACAGGGAAAGGGGAGACAGAAGCAGAGACAAAAAGAAGAATTTTTCATCAACGGATATACATCAGACATCCTGAGTTGTTTTTTTCCCCAGAAGTGAGTAATCCCAAATACAGACAGAACCAGCATCAGTTACGAAGGGTCTTTTCTCTGGTGAAGAGGGTTTTCGTTTGTCTAGGGTTGACAGTGATGACTGCGGTGTTTTGTCTAGACCCGATGGCTGCCACGCCCGGCACAGAAAACAAGATTAAGGTACAGAGATGATCGCCCGTATAGAGAAGATAAAGGTGTTGAGTTTCAAACCCGAGAGTAAGATAAATGATGGGGATTACTGCAGGGTTCAGTATCAGTGCTTTTCCCAACAACAAAGAGTTTTGGTTGTTTTACAAGGTTATTTAATGGAAGAGGCCATTTAGTTCAACAGTTTGGGAAAATTAAGAGAAGAAGATAGATACCGCTCTGATGTCTGTGTGGTAAGAGCCCGGACATGGTTAGCTTAGCTTAGCATTAAGACAGGAGGCAGGTGGAAAAAGCTAGCCTGGCTCCTTCCAATGTGGAACGATATGCCTACCAACATCTTTGAAGGTCACCATTTCATTTTAATTACGTTTTTTTTCAGTTTGACCTGTAGGGGAGATCAGGCATGGTTGTTATTTGGGGTAGTTGTAACACTTTCAATTTTCCCAACTATGAAAAGGTTACAAATCATCTATTTAACTCTGCACATGCTCAGTTTTGTCCAAGTAAAGTATAGCAACCTGTTTCAGACACACCAGTTAATAAGGAAACATGTTTTTTTTAGATAGCATTGCCTACTTCTGCAGTTCGATTTTGCCATGTTGCAACCATCCCCGGTCTCCCCTATACAAACAGAAATGTACAAACAATATCGTCACAGTGAGGTTGCCAGGTATGGTCTCGTAACGCCTGTAAAGAGTCCTATACATGTCCTATATATGTGCTCATCAAATACATCTGGAAACCAGCTGTTTTTTAAATTGGTGGGCTTTGGCTGTGTTGGATGGCACATTTTTAAACTCTGAATAAAGTCATGCTAGCTGTTTCGCTAAGCTTCCGGTCGTTCATGCTAATTGCTAAGCTAATCCCATTCCCAATCCAGCTCAGTGCTTAAGGCAGATATGAGGTGGCTATCTACCTTTTGGGAAAACAAAGGAAAAATAGAGAAAAAAGTATTTCACGGAACAAATTTGTTTCTTTGTTCCAACAGGTTTAATAACATCATGAACACCTTTCATCCAGGTGTGTGAAGTACAGTAATGTTTTTCCTCTTCATTCATATTTCATCTTGGCAGGACTTCAATGTTATTGCATGTCAGATGTCGGTAAAACATTAATTCCACATAAAATGAATGGTCACAGCGTTGGGAAAACCACCCATGTTATGTTTGATGTGTTATGTCCTTCGTCACAAGTTTTGGCAGGTAGCAACGCCACCTAAGACTTACGTCAAAGGTTCTGGCCAATTATCAAGAATTTTTGTCATGATTGTGATATACATCACCCACCATGAACGGTTCCCCTCCCAGCTACTCTAATCTCTGCTCCTTGAAGAGGCAGAACACAGTTTGTTCCCGTACATATTAACAAACTATGGACTGCTTCAGATTTCTTGTGTTTTAAAGTTGTTATTATGTTTGATTGATTCTTTATGAATGTACAAAATGAGTAAAAATATACATTATAAACATACTCTACATACGCTAACCATTACAAGTCTTTTTTTTAAACTCACTTTGGGGGACTGCCAGTAATAGTCAGCAGTCCATTTTCATTTTCTCTTTTATTTTCTCAGCTGTCTTCACTCCAAGAGCACTTTATTTCTTGTAAACTATGATGAACAGCAGGAAACATAGTATAGGCAGCCACATACAACACAACCACATACAATAGATGAAATCTGAAAAGACCGAAGCATAGGTCTTAAATGTTCACATAGACAAAGTAGAAAGGTGCACTCAGTAGAGTTCAGATCGAGGCCAGGTGTGTCTTTAACGACCACTGCTGTATTGTTTGATTGAATGAATACAATTGTTGTCTAGATGGGGGGACAGGGTGTCTAGACACTGATGGGCTATCAGGCATCGTAAAACACATTTCCTTCAAACTCAAAAAGAAGCGGCGATGTATGCAGGCAATGGGCTCAAAGTCATCATATAAAACATGTCATGCAACCTTGCAAAAAACAAAATTAAACTCACTAATGTACTCAGCAGTGTATGTACTGATAGTTCCGTTAGCTGCCAAAAACACAGTCCAAAACAATAAAAGTGAGCCAACTGTTTTCCCCCACTGTGGGCTAGGAGTAGTGTCTGGAGGTCGGAAATGTGTTATCACTAGGGGTCACTAGTAGTGAGTGAGGAGTCAGCAGGCAGTCAATGGCAGTATAAATGTGTTTTATCATAACTGGGCAACCAAAAATATGATTTAGTTTGCTGCATCAGAATGCAAAATTAGCCGTGAACAGACACAGACGTAAACACTCCTGGCAGAGACAATAATAACAATAAAACCGAGTCATAATCAAGGGTATGCGTTTAAAAATGAAAAACTGTGAATGTTTAATTAAATTTCTCTTTTCGGACACATGGATTTTTATATGGAAGAGCACCTTTAAT